TCTTCTTCTTCTTCTTCTTCTTCTTCTTCTTCTTCTTCTTCTTCTTCCTCCTCCTCCTCCTCCTCCTCCTCCTCCTCCTTGTACCCAGTGAAGCCACCTTCTTAGCTTTGTCATTGGCCAAAAATAAGTCATTTCTGGTAGTAGCTGACATACCATCAGATAGGCTGGGCTCTGAGTCTGTCCGCAACCACACAGCCTGTTGTTCAGGGGTGGGATGCAAATATTTTTGCCGCCTTTTCTGTGGGTGTGGCTAGGTGGGCATGGCCATGTGACTGAGCGGCCGTGGCTTCTTTTTTGTATGCAGCAAACCCCGCCTCCCGCTCCGTTTTTTTGCCTCCTGGGCCTCAGGGAAGCCTCCTGGGCAAAGCAGTAAGAGAAGCGAGGGGGATCCCGGCACAGCTGATTGTTGGAACAGCTGATCGCCGGGAGAAAAAAAAAAGAAATACCGATTCAGTCGAACCAGCATCTGGTTTTTTTTACTACTGGTTTGGCCGAACCGATAGCTGTTTTTTTTACTGGTTCGGCCAAACGGTAGCATTTTTTTACTACTGGTTCATCTGAACTGGGCCAAACTGGTAGAATCCCACCACGGCTGTTGTTATCCTCTAAAAACCTGCATTTGAACATATTGGTCTTATGCTTAAGACATTCAAGCCCCCAACCTATTCAGGGTCCTCCAAGTAGTATAAGGGAGGTTGGATCGTTCAGCCAGGTCCTCCTTTAGTGCTATTTCTAGCTTGATGGTCTCCTTCCTCCATCTTTTATTTCGGTTTTATTCTTGGGTATCCTCAGGAATGCTTGTTCTTGCCATGAAGGTGTTCCAAAATCTGAGTTGGCAGGCTTGGGGCATACCTGGGGAAACCTGACCTTGGTGGCCAGATGTTAATGTCCTGTTTGCTTCTCCAGATCCTCATGGGATTGAAGCAAAAAGGAAGAAGAAGAAGCCCGACTATATGGACCATTTCAACTTGACTCCTTCAGCAGGTCAGTGTGCGATCTCCCCATCCCTTGGTCAACCCCACACGGAAAAGCTGTCTCCTAACCATGAGCATTTCCATAGACTTCAGATCCCAGAATTCCCTAGTCAACATAGCCATAGATAAGAACTCTGGGAGTTGAAGTCTACACATCTGGAAGCGGTCAAGGTTGGGAAATACTGGAACCATCTGAAGATCTTCCTCCAGTACTGAGCTGAAGTGGTCCCCGATCCCTAGAAAGAGTCTCATTCATGGGCTGGAAAGATGTTGGGAAACTCCCAGCCAGACTTGAAGGAGGGGTCAAGCAGGGAACTAGCCTTGAATCTTTGTGCAGCTGCAAGAGGCATAAGCCTGACTCCCACTAAGTTCTATAGAACCGTATTTGGTTGTTTCCAAGGGGGATTCCTGTAATAAAGGTAGAACGCAATAAAGTTGTCGCCTTAGACCTTTCACGAGTGGATCTTCTCCAAGCAGCAGAAGATAAAGGAAACTGGTGGCCATGGTAATGTCACCAAAGCCTCACCCATATATTGCATGTAAAAGAGGCTGGGATTTTACTGTGTGGTTGCGTTCTTTAACTTAACCCATCTGTGGTATGTGGATTCAGAGACTATTGCCCTACGATCCACCCTTGCCCATCTAAAGGTTACAAACAGACAAACAGAAAATGTTTAGCAATACAGGCAAAGGTGGTATTCAGCCGGTTCTGATTGGTTCTGGAAAACTGGCAGCGGAAATTTTGAGTAGTTCGGAGAACAGGCCAATCCTACCTCTGACTGGTCCCGACCCCATCTATTCCCTGCCTTCCATTGAGTCCCAGCTGATTGGCTGGGTCTTCTTTTGCTGCCCTGCACAGGAGAACGGAGCTGAAAAGCAGGTTAGTGGGGTGGGGAGAGAAGGGGCATTTTGCAGTAACCTTCCCCCATCTGACAACCCAGAGTGTAACACAAACGTAACAAAATCCAAAACAGAAATAAATGTCCTTTAATGCCTCCAACTTGGCCCCACTGTTCAATAATTGTCAGTTGGAGATAAAATGTATTCAAAAACTGTCTTCAAAAGAAAGCAATACAGTCCAAACTTAGTGTGCAGATAGAGGTGAAATAAAAAATTAAAACAAACTACAATGAAGGAATTTCCAGGATAACGGACCAGGATAAGTAATTACCAACTTCAAGGAGATCACAAGGCACAATCTGTTGAAAGGACGCCAACCAAGATAACTTCAGCCCCAAATAAAACACACTTCGCTTCTGGCAACACTGTGTTTTAACCGTCTTTCTTATATACTATTCTCCCCAGCTGCAACCAATGAGGGGGATCATGGCCACTTCCTCTCTCATAAGCCAAGTTGTTTCTTTCTCCGTTCCTCCCGGCCTGTCCTAGGATGAAGAGGGGATGGGCCTGGTTCTTCCTCTGACTGCCCAGCCGGCCTCTGCCCCTCCCCAGCCTCCCCCACAACCTCCGGAGCCACACTTCTGCTCCCTGTCGGCTGTTCCTCCTCTCCCTCAGAGTCTGACTCTAACAAGGGCATGACATCCCAGGAGTGGGGAGGGAATGGGGATTTTGCAGTATCTTTCCCCTGCCACGCCCAACAAGCCACGCCCAACAAGCCATGCCCAACAAGCCATGCCCAACAAGCCACGCCCACAGAACATTTTCTTGTGGACCACCAGTGGTCCCTGGCCTACTGGGTGGCGACCACTGTCTTTAGAGTCGGCGGCACCCAAGGAATGCCGACATGGTCGCTCCTAATAAATCATTTTTTTTTTAAACTCTGAGATATGCGGCTAGAGATTTATGATTTGAACGGGGTGTATTGTTGGAGCCCTGACACCCGAATCCTACTCACAAATTTCGTTTCATTTTCCAGACTTCTCCCTGCCCTCTCCGGACGACCGGGGTTTCCAGGCCAGCATGGAGCGCATCACGTTGCCGGATCTCTTTGAGGAATTTGGTCGTTTTCCCAGCTTTTCACCTTACAGCGGCCCCAGCTTGAGCGATGTGGTGCTGCCTTCTTCTACGAGCTACGAAGAGAGAGCGGAACGGGAATTCTTGCTTGATGCTTATTCGGTCCATTCGGGCATCACCATCCCTCTGCCGCTGCCTGGAGATTGTGATCCCGAAGGTGTGGCGACCTTGGTGGGAAGCAGCATGTTCCCCAGTCAGTACAAAGAGGACGAAGAAGATCTAGAAACGGAGAACATCGCAGACGTGTGACGGAAGGGCCCTAGTCTCTCCACGTTGGGGGAGAAACCAAGAAAAAGACTTTTTCCTTGCTGACAACCGAAGGAGGGAAAAGTTGGTAGTGATCTCTGCGGGACGGCACTCTCTGTGAGAAGGCGACTGGAGAAAACACGGAAGGGAAAAAGATTGCACTCCTTGTGGAATAATCCTAGAAGAGAAACGGCATCTTCGAGTGGGAGGGACTTCCTGTTTTCTCTTCCTCGATTCTCTCACAGCGCGTAAACTCCGAGCAGCGAGAACAGGAGGGATCTTCGAATGCCCGTGACGCTGCAGGATGGTTTCTTGCCTTTGGCTTAGTGTGCACAAACCTAGGTTGAAAAATAATATAGGTAGTCCTCGAATTACAACCACACAACGGAGCCCCCAAATTTCTGTGGCTGAGGGAGACGTTGGCGAAGTGAGTTTTGCCCCGTTTTACGATCTTTCTTGCCAGCGTCCTTAAGCGAATCCCTGCGGTTGTTAAGTCAGTCACACAGTGGTTAGGTGAATCTGGCTTTCCTCTACCGACGGCTTGTCAGAAGGTCGCAAAAGGGGATCACGTGTTCCCGGGACGTTGCAACTGTCATAAGTACATGCCAGTTGCCAAGCATCTGAATTTTGATCACATGACCATGAGGGACGCTGCAACGGTCGTAAGTGTGAAATACAGTCATAAGTCACTTTTTTCAGTGGGGTTGTAACTTCAAAACGGTCACTAAGTGAACTCTTTTAAGTTGAGGACTACCTGTATTTTAGGGCTTAGCATGATGTCAAAACACAACTGAGGATGTTTGGTCAAAGAAATCAGTTATGCATGCCACTGTTTTCATGCAATGTGTGTTATCAGTCACTGAACTATTCCTTAATATATGTGTGTGTGAGTGTGTGTGTGTGCACCCAGATATAAAAAAAGCCATATCAGTGCCTTTGAGCCAGGGACAAATGACAAATGACTTTCCACACACCCCCGGGACAGTTAATCCAGACCACTTGTTGAATATTTTTTTGGATTTTGGCTTCTTTTAACAGTTTCTGTACACATGACATAATAGAGCAATAGCACTTAAGACTTATAGATCGCTTCACAGTGCTTTCCAGCCCTCTCTATGCAGTTTTACAGTTAGCACATTGCCCCCAAAATCTGGGTCCTCATTTTACCGACCTTGGAAGGATCGAACTCCTGGCAGTGGGCAGAGTTGGCCTGCAGGGCTGTATTCTAACTGCTGCACCATCACGGCCAGTATAGCAATAGCACTTATAAACTGCTTTTCAGTACTTTATGGCTCTCTCTAAAGCGGTTTACAGAGTCGGCCTCTTGCCCCCAACAATCTGGGTCCTCATTTTACCCACCTCGGAAGGACAGAAGGCTGAGCCAACCTTGAGCCAGTCAGAATTGAACTGCTGGCAATGAGCAGAGTCACCCCGCAATACTGCTTTCTAGCTACAAGGAAGGAAGGAAGGAAGATAGCAGTAGCATTTACTTATATACCACTTCTCAGTGCTTTCCAGCCCTCTCTAAGCTGTTTACAGAGTCAGCCTCTTGCCCCCAACAATCTGGGTCCTCATTTTACCCACCTCAGAAGGACGGAAGGCTCAGTCAACCATGAGCCAGTGAGAATCGAACTGCCAAACTGCCGGCAGCCGGCACAAGTTAGACTGCAATACTGCCTCCTAACCACCGCGCCACCACAGCTCTTGGAAGGAAGTGGTATTATATGTCATGATGTAGTCGCACCAATGAGGCCAGGATGGAGGTGACTTATTGTGACTTTACTGGGTGCCTTTGCTTAAACATACGGCCAGATGTAGCTAGTGTATCATTAGGATACGTATACAGGGGGCCTTTCAGAGGCTGCCATCCCAACATCCTTGGTTATAAGGGGAGAGTCCTGCTATTCCCACGGAGGACTTCCGTCCACAATAAATTGGGTAAACTGAATATCTTCATCATCATCAAGATGCAGGAGGCAGTATTCCATTGTGCCTTAACTTATTTCCAAGAAGTCTGTGAGTGCAGGTATTCCTCGACTTAACAACAACACAATTGAGCCCAGAGTTTCCACCGCTAAGGAAAACAAATGAGTTTTGCCCCATTTTATGACCTTGCTTGCGATGGTTGTTAAGTGAATCCCTGAAATCGTTGGACATTGTAAGGGAATCTGGTTTCCCCACTGACTTGGCTTGACAGAAGGCCACCAAAGGGGAATCACGTGACCTCAGGACCAGTGGTGGGATTTAAAAGTTACTACCGGTTCTGTGGGCGTGGCTTGGTTAACAGTTAAGGAACAAGAGTCGATTCAGGAGTGAGGGCACAGGTGGACGGTGAATGGCCCCTCCCATAGGGAATAAAAGAGGAGCAAAAGGGGAGTGGTGTTTGCAGGAGGCAATTAGTTCGTTTAATTAGTCTGAAGATTTCTTCCCGACTTCTTGCCAAGTAATTGCTGCTACAGTGTGGCGTTTGGAAGCTATCGGCCTGGCAACTCTCCAAGCCTGATAAAAATCTGTAGTTGTGAAATCTAATGAAAGACTGTTGGCCGGGATTTTGCTGGAGAGGAATTCATTTTAGCCTAAATAAAAGGGGTTTTACTGGGGCAAGGAGTCTGCTTCAGGATCTTGGGAAGCCTAGGTCAGAACACTACCTATATGCAAAGTAGAAGCAGTCTCGAGTTATATTCAAAGTTACAACAGCAGTGAAACAAGCAACTTATAACAGTGGCCTCCAACCTTCTGGGCACCGGAGACCATGGAGAGAAGTTTTTTCCCTGGACCAGAAGAATGGTGGTTTCGTGTGCTGCCTCCATCCCGCAGATGGGACTTTGCTTGTTTGCGCAGCCTGGTTTATGGCATGCTGTCACTTGGTACCAGTCCATGGACCAGAGTTGGAGACCCCTGACTTATAAGGTATCCCCAGATAACATGATCAAAATTTCAGTGTTTGGCAACTGGCATGTATTCACAAGAATTGCACTGTTCCAAAGTTACGGAATTGCTATTTGCAACCTTCCCAGCCGGATTCTGACATGCAAACTCAACGGTGGCACTGTTTCACTTAACAACCATGGCCAAAAAAAGGTTGTAAAATCAGCTGTGACTCACTTAACAAACACCCTGCTTAGCTATGAAAGTTCTGGTGCCAATTTTGTTGTAGGTCAAGGAGTAACTTGTATACGTTAATCTGTTTTCATATGGGGTTGAGCCACAAACCTAATCTCTCTTAACAGTAGTTTTTCAAAAAAAGGTTTAAATTGGTGTTTTTGAGATTCTTTCTACCTGGAGAAATTACAAAGATTTATTTGGCGGCTTCTGTGTGCAATGAATCATTCTTTTTGTATTCCTAACTATCTTTCTTCAAAGCAGGGCATTTTATTTTTGAATGGAAGCAATCTTTTTTTAGATGTTTGCTTGAAAATGGTCAATGCAACACTGGACGATAGTTAAGAAAAACAGTTTTGCAACCCAGAAATCCTGGATTATTTTTATTTAGTTTTATTTTTCCACTGTTAAAAGTGTGTTTTCCCATAATAATCCCATAACAATCATCCATATCCATCTGGATTTGTTTCCAGTATGTTCTGCATATATTCGGTTCCATCAAAAGGCCTAAGGATTATATATTTGTAAGCAATGCAAAGTGGGGAAAAAAATTCCCCATCTTTAAAAAATGTCTCAGAATGCCAGAATTTTCCATCACTCTTACAACCTTCTCAGGGTATAAAGGAAAGGAAAGCTGAAGAAAGATGGGAAGCAGAATTGCAAATTTACTTAATAACCACTTCATTTAATGACCATGTTGACAGTCCCAATTGTGGCTGCTAAATCAGGATATTAACAGATATTAAGCAGTGGGAAAGAATTATTTATTTTTAACATACTGTTGGATTGCCAGACTCTGAAAAGACTCTTGATGGATTTCTTCAGACAACATAAATAATAATTAAATAATTCATAATTTTTTTAAAAAACCCATAAAATGAAAAGAAAGAACAAACCTGCATAATATAGGCCAGGCTTTGTGTACTTTCTGTAATCTTGACGGATAGGGTGAAGTTCTTCAGATGCAAGAGATGGGAAGATTATATATTTAAAAGCAAAATACCCCTCACGCATCATCACAAAATCTCCACAACTGTAAAAAGCCTACAATCTTGAAATTTGGCACGTATGTTCCTCTTGGCTTCTAGGTGCTCACTAAGAAAGGATTTTTCGAAATGACCATCACCTGAAAAGAAATCTGTTCCAAATGCAAAACACAGAGGAGTTTCAGTTTCAGAGCACCAAGTAGGTTTAGTACAGAACAGTTGAGCTAAGCCACGCCCAGGCTCCTTGCTGTCTCCTTGCTCACACAGCAAATACTGTTTTAGTTTCCAAACAGCCCTCAACTCTCACACACTGACAGGATGCTAGCCAGATGAATACCGATGGATACTAGTAGGCAGAGGCATAATTCCCCCCCCACCTTATTTTCCTCCCCAAAAACTAAGCCTGATCACATAGTTTCATAGCGAAGCACACGGGTATAGAGCTGGTGTCTGGATAAGCATTTCTCTTTTAAGGTATCTGGGTTGCTCCTACCTGAAACTCAAAGCCCACCAACAGCACTGCTGGGAGGATTCCTATTTTTGGTTGCTCTCTGAGCTTGGTTTTCTTGCAGACATTTCATCACCCAACTTGGTAACACCATCAATGTCAGGGTGTGGTGTGGTGGAGGGATTGCTGTCCGATTACAGGCATTCTTGCAGAAAAAAATACAGTTTTCTTACACGCATCTTTCTCCCACATGCTTTCTCAAGCCTCTGACACCCCTTCTGGGGTTCCAATAAGAAGGGATAACCCTTGACTTATGACCACAAGTGAGCCCAAAATTTCTGTTGCTAAACGAGACAACTACCGATATTGAGATTTCTGGTCATAGTTGTTACGTGAATTATTGCTCTTGTTAAGTTAGTCACCCAGTTGTTAAATGAACCCGGCTTCCCAACTGACTTTGCTGGTCAGATGGTCGCAAAACGTGACGACAGGAGGCACTCCAACCGTCATAAATATGAGTCACTTGCCAAGCCCCCGAATTTTAACTTGCATGACCATGGATGGCAAGTGTGAAAAACTGTCCAAACCAAAGTCACTTTTTTTTCAGTTTTGTTGTGACTTCAGTCACCAAACGAACTGTGGTTAAGTCGATGATTATATCTGTATCTGTAGCTCCTGACGATGCCAGCCTGGGGAATTCTGGGAGTTGGAAGCCTACACCTCTTAAAGTTGCCACGCTTGACTTAACACACCAGAAAAACACCAGCTAGGGGTGATGCCTGACATGGCTTCAGACAAACCAATAATTCTTCAGAGGAAGCGCTCGGGATTCGAACCCGCGATAAAGAGTA